GAAGAGTGAAACATTAGTGAAACAATAAAGAAGGAGAGCAGGCAGGAGAGATGAAGAAGCAGGTTTTAACAGTCTGGTTTGGGTGGTTGTTAATCTAACTGTACAAAAACCAAGTGATAAAAACCACAAATACAAGTGGAGATTGTGTGACATTTTTCAGATGATCATGATGATATGAGGTTGTGCATAGGAGAAACAATGCAGTGTTCATATGGTCCCTGATCTGCAGCAGTGACAAACCAACACTTTCTGTACCACCAAGCCACCTCTGATCCAAGCAAAGCAGGCAGAACTGTGGGGGGAGAGCATTCCTTCTACAGGGGACAGAGGTGAACCAGGGATGTACAGTATGTACTCCACTTCTAAATCATTCTCATCTGAGCAGAGCACACCTGGGTGACTCTGTAGTATGAAGTATGTCATGATGGAATAATTTTAGAAGCATATTTAGATATATTCACCACATTGTGATCAGAAAAGCACTCAGCCCGTTCTCATTCCCAACTCATCAAATACCGCCACTTTGTCAGCAAAAAGGCACCTTTCGTGGCAGTATGATATGACGCCTGGTGGCATAAGTTTATAATTCCACTGGATGGTGTCTCATACTACCGCAAAAGGTGCGTCAGTTTATAACACGACCAGACAGCGTCACATTGAAAGACCACCAATAACAACATAATATAATGGCTCTAAAGTCTCTATAAGGTAGGCAGGAAGGGTAGTTGATGGGTCCAACAAACCCCAGACTTTCACCTTTGAGTCCAGTGTTTGCTTCCCATGTGAATGTTGAGCCAAACCATAATTATTTTTTTTTCTAAACATAAGCATGTGCTTTTATTCCCTAAGTCTAACTGCATGCTTTTGTTGCACCAGGAAATAAATATAAGTATTAGGTGTTTTACTGATGTAAGTTTAATGTGAAAAAGACAGAAAACAGAGGTGCATATTGAAAAGACACCATGCATGTAACAAGTATAGAGTGCTCCAGGGATGAAGTTTTTATGTAGGCTGATGCAAAACTAAGCTTTGTCCTGGTTCCCTTGTCAAAAAGCCTGTGGGATTTTTCCATTGGATCATTTTGGATTATTGCAAAAAATAAGCTCAGTAACAAATAAATGTTTATGATACTACATACATGTTTTGTTCATCAAAACATAAACAGCCATAAACAAACTACACAACACCACCACAACCATTTTGTAAAGCCGTGTTCGGCATGATGATGTTCTGTAGTCTCATTTAGCCACTTGTTTGCAACCGCCTTTTTTAAGACACATACAAGCTTTTAAGTTCATGAGTGTGGTATTTACTAACGTAATTTATGTTGGAGAACAAAACTTGAACGTCTCTTCAGTTTGTGTTAACTACAGACCTTTTGTCAGGCATCTAACCAAAAACCCATTCAAACCTGTCGACTTTGAATTGAGGGGACCTTGAGTGGTTTAATGCTAACTCATTTGTGGGTTTTAGGACTCATTCCTGGGGCACTCTATTGACATGGCATCCCACAACGTCCTCAACAAACCCACCTAGAGCATCATATGGAGATTTTAAAGTCCACTGACAAAGTGGGGATATTTCAGCAGCTTTGACTTGAGGTATCGGCTCCCAGAAACAGTGTAAATATAATCAGAAATTAGTGCTCCCCATCACTTACACTTACAAGATCTATGAAGAGGATTGATGTTTTTCTAACACACTGCATCTCTATAACTATTGTACAGAAGGTTATGTTAACTGGTTGTCACGTGTCCATATTGTGATCATTTCCCACATGCTGGGGTGGCAACTTTTCTGTGTTGTAGTTAACCAACATCTATTAAATGTCACTGTTCATTTAGTGGAGTCCTGCAGTTGAAATATATAGTATGCAGTGTTGCTGCAGCACCAAATTGATCCAAGCTGAACTCCCTACTCAACATAACTGAAGCCACTGCTTTCCACAAAAAGTTTCATTTCCTGAAAGAAAACCCGACATTGTGGCACAGTGAGGTTCAAACTGTATGCTATGTTGCATGAAATCTAGGCGACTGACTGGAGTTGATTAAAGAACACACAGCTGTAAAGAGAACCTGAGGATTTGCATATCAACATTTCCACTAAACAGAGATAAATGAAAGAAAATAACAACAAAAAATCTGGCCATATATTATACAGGTTTTTTTTTCACCTTCTCATAAATTGTCTATTTATGAAAAGGCACCCATTTTTTAAATATATTCAGATGTTAACAACACACAGCTCCAAGTTCCTCTTATAAAAATGCAATGAATTAGTTTTAACTGCAAACAAAAACATGATATTGTCATCTAGAAAGAGTAAGTATACTCGGGAACACAGTTAATATTCATGTTTCACATTGTGACTGGTCACTCTGCACTGTGTGAGAGTAAATCCATTGTGCACACAATTAAATGTGCGTTTGAATGTGTCAGCATGCATTGAAATTAATGCACAGCTGATCTAATAAAAACATATCCATCAAATACAAATATACAGAGTACTAAAGAGGCATCAGATCCTTTCATTCAAGTGCCTTACAAATGCCTGTAGAGGGCGCTCTTATACTAAGTTTACAATGCAGTCAGCAGCCATGCAAAACAAGCCTCACAGACACACTCTTTTTTTATCTCCCCCAAGTCATCATATTTGAAAATGCTCTAGTAAGAGCAGTACAAGCTGTGTATGGAGTCACATGAATTTAGGGACTACCTCCTTCGTGACAGCACACTCACCAAGTGAACTGCTGAGGTCTGGGAACATGGTGATGGCTACAACAAAGTCTAACAAGTCATGAAAAATGCAGTCAGATGATCAGACAGGTTAGACGCAGACTGACAGTTAATCCAGATTATCAAAACTCATTTATTTGGAGGTAAAACTAAAAGCAAATGTACCTGAAATTTTGCTAATAATTCTTTATTGTACAGAAGATAGGGGTGATTCCACAAAATGTTGTTTCGATATGACACCAAGTAATACAGTGCCAGAATCACCAATACTGAAGCCCATATGATACTTTTTATCATCAAAATTAGTGTACTTAAATGTAGAGTTGAGCAGGGTTTTTTTTTTGTTGTTTATTTTTTTATTTTGCTAGACAGTGTGCTGTGCAGTGTACTTCTGGTGACGTTTTGGTCCCCAAATTTTGCTGCCGATTGAGCACTCTTGACTTTCACGCTACTCTTTGGTATAGACAATGGTTGACACAATGCAGCATCTTTGATTAAGTCATCACTGCTATCATGTGTCAGAATAAACTAGCCAGGGTGCATGCGGGTGCACAGTGTGTGTGCGACACATATGTTGTTTAAGTGCAGACAACACAAAAACAGTGGAGAAGCAAACAGTACACGCATTAGATTTTTTTGCACAGACCGTTTGACTTGTAAAATACAAATAGGTACAACATAGAACAGAGAAAATAATCCCTTTTTTGGTATCGATTCCATTGTTGCTAGGATCGATATTCAAAATGAAAACATAGTATCTAGTGTATCAATATTTTGGTATCAATCCACCCACCCCTAACAGGAGAGCTGTATGCACACAGCTGCAGTAAAGGCTATGAAGGAACTCATTTTTTACAACTAAGTGTTTTTATGCTAGAAGGCAGGGGGTAGAGCCTGCCTGCCTCCGTGATCTCTCTTCAAGAATGTGTAATTTTCAAGTTTTTATAGTCTTGATGAAATCACTTGTGCAGACACACACTTTTAGACAAACTCTTCTCAAAAGCATTCATGGTGTTAAGATCAGTTGGTCATGGGGAAATAAGTATGAAGAATGAAAATGGAGAGCTTGAGAGATAAGTTTAAACCTGGTCTGGTCTCACACCTCCACACACCTGGCCAGTCACTGTGAAAGTGACTGCTGGGTTGGCAGTTTGGAAACATTACAAAGAGTGTTGGATGCAGCCTCCAGCCCCATTTAAATCAAACAGGTACTGTGCTTGAAGCACACTGAGGGCCTGACTCAGGCTGTTCGCATAAACTGTTAATACGTCTTTCTATGAAGAGTAATGCACCCAAATTCATACATATCCCATGTAATCATTAGCCAGTAATTCTTGCATAACCCATGTATTTTGGAAGGCTGCAATCTAGGGCTGCACGGTATATGCGGTAGACGGTAGAAATGATATAAATTTGGCCCACGGTAGAGATTTGCGCTCTACCGTCCTATCGTCGATGACGTCATCGCACCTACCTCAGTGTGAAAATGGCTGCGAGCACAGAGACAGCGGAGCAAGAGGAGCTGGTTCACGTCCGTGATTTAGCGTACCACGTGCAACATGTGTTGCTGGAGAACTTGTGAGTGAGTGAGTTAATGTCTTATGAACAGCCCCGGACTTCTCAGACTCTTTTAGCGACTTACCGCTCAGAGGGAACTCATTCAGTGTCTCCTCTGGCAGCAGCACAGCGTCTCTCCCTCTCCTCTCTCGCCGTGCGCACACGGGAGTTGGTTTTCGGCAAGATAGTTTGTCATAAACCTTTGGTAATGTAAACCTATGTGACGCTAGGGGCTCCACAAAAAACTCCATATGTGAATGTGTGATAGTTGTGGTATCATAGCAGCCTGTCATAGGTTACAGCGTGATGATTAGAGGAGAAATGGCAGAGCATAAAGGTCCAGGTGGAAAAAACACAACTCAGTCATTTAGGATTTTGCTAAAAGAAGGAAATTACCTTTTGATATAGATCCCAGGGGACATTTTGCACCATAGAGTACTGGGTTTTAATTTTGAGTTTTGAGATCTGCATTCTGTACAATAAATGCTCTAAAAAATACATTATATCTTTGCTTTTGTTGTTGTTGTTTTTCTTATCAATTTAGCTTTGCTAAGGGACTACAAAACCCATTCAGAAACACTTCTATTATAACTTTTACACTTAAATTTATACCGCGATATATACCGTTACCGTGAAGGGATTCGATTTATACCGTGATATGAATTTTAGGTCATACCGCCCAGCCCTACTGCAATCACATGACCAGTGTGCTGATGGGAGCAAACAAGGAAGCAGTCCCGAGTGGTCTCGTAAGGAGGCAGGTTGGGGTAGTGAATGGATCACAAAAATGCTAACATTCACTTGGGAGAACTGTGTGAACTTTGAGTCATTTTAAGGTACGTCCTCACCATGTTTCTTTTGCTAAACCTAACCACAGTAACTTCAGTTGCCCAAACCCTAACCTCCATAACTTTACGTTAATAACCTAACTTTACGTTAAGCACATAACGTCATTTTTAAGCCGCTAAATCATAGGATATCATATAAACTGCTGTGTCTGCATTTTCATAGGATGTGTAGCCAAAGTATGGTGGGTCTACAATCAATTTTTGTGTACATTTTTACAGTTTGTCTTTGTTTTTGTTTACAAATAAGTCAAACTCACATGTTGGTTTGTTTCCAACCTGTCTGATAGTTTGACTGGTCATTTTTCTTTACCCCATTGGTCTTCTGTTAACTGATGTTACCATGTTCCCAGATCTCACCCATTAACTTAGTGAGCGTAGTTTTATTATTATGGATAGAAATGAAAGTAAAAACTACAAAACAAGCCCCAAGTTGTAATAAACCAGAATAATCATTTAATAAGACACTAGTCTCACAGAGACTAAAAGAGATTGTGTGTTTGGGTGCTTGTCGTCAGCTTCCTGAATTCAGGAGGGATGCCTAAACACTATTAAACAAGCAGCTGGCCAGTCTTTTTGTAAAGGATGGGAAAATAAGGTCACATTTCTCACCCTAATTTTGATGTTCCATTGGAATGGGTCACGCCACATTGGCCTGTTATGACACATTCACTATAGAAATGAAGGAGAAGCCCCTGAGCTGGGATGCAGGCAGCATGAGATGACCCACACATGAGCGATCAGTAAACTTGTCCACTGTTCTTGTGCGCTTTCCTTTCTGTCTTTATATATGTACTCATTTCACCTGTCTTCTTATGAGGATATAGTGCTGTTTCCTAAGCTGTTTCATTTTTTTAAGGTTTTTTTATTTGAGAAGTGTGTGCGAACAGTGGTCTAGCTGTGAATACAATAGCCTTGCATCCCTATTCTATTCCCTTTTCATCTTCAAGAACCTGTTTCAGGTATTATAGAAAAAGGAGAGACAAAATTTAAACCAAAAAAAACAAAACAAAACAGAAACATAAATGGAAAATACATTGTTGAAGCACTGAGACACATATCAGTGTCTAGTATAAAGCAAATGCATATGTCCTCTTGGACTACACAATGCCATTTGTGTCCAATGAAGTGGTGAGAATGGGACTTTATTGTCCCGTGTCATGTGCTTGTGTTTGATCTGGGTACCATTACAATAACATAATACCTAGACCTAGAGAATGATGAGTAAGCACAAGACTCATCATTAGGGTTTTTTTGAGTCTTGTAAAAGATAAATGTTGTTTAGACAGCTGTAAAAAAATTATTACTTGTTTCTGCCTTCCGTGTTTCCTTAGTGGTATTAGTCCATCATAAGAAATAGGCCTAAATAGCAAGCAATAGGAAACTGAAAGTTACACCCGTTGAGCTGTACACAAAAACTCTTCCAGGATAGTCATAAATATTCTCATTCACACAAGGCTTTGTTTATGCTCACATTTGAGCCCTAAAAGACTTATTAGTTGTCACTGTTTTGCTCTGCAGCATATCAGTCTGGTCTACAAAGAATAAGCCAATAACACTGACATGAGACAGTGTCTTTGAGATAGTACCCAGAGAGTAGGCATGTGCTTCTGACTTCCCTCATGTAATAAAGCCATGTGACAACACTACAGAGATGTCTGTGCCTTAATAGCAGTGCTTGTCAAATAAAAAGACAAGAGTCCAAAAGTCTTGTGGGATGTGACAAGTGCATTGCTCCAGAAAAATTGCAAAAACTGTTATGATAGGTTTGCTAACACTTTGGTGTGTTTCCGTGCAGGTGCAGAGCCCACACCAGGTCCGGCAATGGTTCCGGTTTGCTCTGGGTAGTTGCTGTCATCCATCCCGTCGACCTTATCCTCAACCCATCTATTTGGCATCTCTGTCCATGAACGTTTCCGTTCTTTTAGGGCTCACATGCTCGTTTCACAGGGTGGTGTTGCACTTCTGTCCAGAGCAATGTGATTTTCTCGTTTCTCTCCACTCTGGTCTGCTCCCTCCCTCTCTTCTCCTTCCTCCCCTCCTTCCGTAGTTACCAGCTCCTGGGTGCAGTTGAGAGGGCTGGCTTTAGACGACAGTGGGCTAGCACTGCTGCCTGAGCCGACAGCAGACCTTTCCATGTGATTCCTCCCCTGGTGGCTTAAGCCTGTGAGCTGCCCTTCACCTTCTAAGCTCCTGGCTGCTGAGCCCTCACCTCCCCCCTGGGAGATGCTTGGACTGACAGATTGCTGGGCCAGCATCGGAGATTGCAGGATCGCCAGCGGAGACTTAGCTTCCTGGGTTATAGAGCTAGGAGAGGGAGAGAACCTGGAAACAATGTCGTCAGAGAGTAGTTGAGCAAGCTTGGCTGAGCCAGCAGAGGCTGGGGTTGCTACAGGTGTCATCACTGCCATAAGCACCTCATCTTGGGATCCAATGAGGTCAACCTTGAGGGCTCTTTTCTTTTGAGGGGTGCCATAATCTTGCAAGGAGCTGGAGATGCTGTCATAGGTAACCCCAAAGCTTTCCACACTTTGTGGCACCAAACCTGAATCTCCAGTCCCACTTCCTCTGGGGCTGGACACAAACTCATACAAACCCTCTTTAATGATGGTCATTGGCTGGATGCTGTCAGGGCCCCTGTTAGCCTCCATGGTGCTGATCTGACTTAGATCCAAGGGAGGAGGGATGCGCTGGTGTCTAGCACCAGTTTGAATCACTTCAGTATTGGGGAGCAGAGAGCTTCTTTCTCCTCTTTCCACTGAAAAATCATCAGCCACATTGGAGAATTTTCTAGCAATGCTGACTTCAGGAGAAGTTTGTCGGGCTTGAGGGGAAGTCAATGCTTTCATCTCCATCTGTTCTTCTATAATTTCCTCCTGCTTCTCCTGAATGGCTGCAGTCTTGTTGTAAGCATCCTCCAGCCGCTTTGGGTTGAGGTTTTGAAGCGTAGTTTTATTAGACAAAGGCTTGCCTCGTTCAGGGGAGCCCTGCTGAGCCACTTCCTGGTAATGAGAATGTTGGGACTTGCTTGGGCTACCCACCTCTGTATTGGAGTAGTGTTTGTGGTAGCTCCAGCGACTGGGTGACAGGTGATTGTCCACAGGACACTTGCTGTCCTCTCTCTTTTCCACCAACACATCTGTAAGTTCCATACTGCGTGCAAAAGCATCCTTTAAGTTAATAGAAATAATGCTTCCACTGCGTTTTGCTCTTTCAAGAGCTTCCCTCCTCTTGATGGCCTTCTCCTGCCTTTTCTGCTCTCGGTAGAACTCAGAGAAGTTGTTCACAATGATTGGGATGGGAAGGGCAATGACCAACACACCTGCTATGCAGCAGAGCCCTCCGACAATCTTGCCCAACAGGGTTTGTGGGTAGATGTCTCCGTAACCAACAGTGGTCATAGTAATCGTAGCCCACCAGAAGGAGGCAGGGATACTGGTGAATTTGGTGGCATCCTCATCCTTCTCTGCAAAGAACACCAAGCTAGAGAAGATCATAATGCCCATAGCTAAGAAGAGGATCAGTAGACCCAACTCATTATAGCTCCTTCGCAAAGTGAAGCCCAAAGACTGGAGTCCTGTTGAGTGCCTGGCCAGCTTCAGGATCCTCAGGATCCTCATAATTCTGAAGATCTGGACCACACGACGCACATTCTGGAACTGCATCACATTCTTGTTAGACTCAGTTAGGCAGAGGGTCACATAGTAAGGCAGGATAGCCAGCAAATCAATGATGTTCAGTGGGGCTTTGATGAAACTCCACTTGTTGGGTGCTGAGAGCAGGCGCAGTATATACTCCATGGTGAACCAGGCGATGCAGACAGCTTCCACATGGGCTAGGCTTGGGTTGTCATTGAACTGACCAAATTCATCCACCACCTGGAGCTCCGGGAGGGTGTTTAGCGACAACGAGATGGTGGAAATGATAATAAACAGGATGGAGATCATAGCCAGGATCTGCAAGACAAAGACAAGATTGGGGTTATTGTATTAGCTGAGCATTTTTCATCATTACTGATTGCGTTGTTATAAAATTTGGTACAGACATTCCTGTTCTCCACGGGAGAAATAACAGATCATGTCAGTGAAATCCCATAACTTGTCATCTAGTGTCATAATTGAGTCAAAATATCAATTTGTCAAATGCTTTGTTGGCCTCAGCTGCAGGCTGCTTTGTGTACAGTGCTAATTAGAGATTATTGACATGCTAACATGCTAGGTGTACATGAAAAAAAAGATTTTAAGGTATGTCCTGACCATGTTTATTTTCCTAAACCTAACATCAGTAACTTTGCTTGCCTCAACCCAGCCTCTGTGACTAATTAATTAATTACATAACTGTATATTTAACGTCATTTGTGGGGTGCTAATTCGTAGGATATCACACAAAGGGTTGAATGTGCATTTTCATCAGATATCATGCAAAGCGCTCTATAAGGAGTTGTTGCACTTGGTCATTGTGAGCATGTTAGCTTGCTGACACTTGCATTTATCCCAAACCCACTAGCCTCTCAACAAGTGTTGCCAGATTTAAAGTGACACCTAATAGCCCTGACACACCAAGCAGACAGTCGATTGTCAGGAATATACCTATACTCACCCTCTGTGTGGAACACTCCATTTTAGTGCCTGTCTCTTTAAGCTCCCCTCCCCAAAAATCCGAGCCTGCTCTGACTGATCAGTGTTTCTGAGTCTTCAACATCTCTGCACCATCACTGCAGCCGAGCAATGACTGTGATGGCAATGTAGCAGTTTCTACTTATATATAGTATAGTTGTGACATCACAACTTCACAGAGGTCCTGGCAGCTGGTTTGCAGGCACAGTGTCTAAATAACGACTGCATGCATGCATTCGTGGGTTAAGCTTTTTGATGCTTCCACAGTATGTATGTAGTACCTCTATACCTGCTTTATGAGTAATAAAAGACATGAAAATCAGACTTGTTACAATATGGGAACTTTACATTTTTTAATAAAACTTTTGCTACATTAGAGTGCAGTGCACACTATATATTTGTGTTATCAGAAACTTTCTAACACAATGACAAACACCCTAAAAAATATTTAGTCTTATATTGCATTTGTTTTATAAACATTTTAATTTCAGAAAAGTTAGTTCAACACCCTTTTGTTCAAGTTGACGGGGGATTTATTGATTATATATATTATTATTCCATCATTAATACATGTTGAACCACTGCTCAAAGACAGTTATACAAGTGACCCTCAGCTGCATCATATAGTATGTTACAATAGTGACATACATTTTAAATAAGACAGTTTTGTTCTGCAAGCCTGCAAAGCCACAAGAGGTGAGGTGCTACAGGATGATGCTAATTCTGTCGCATTGTCTCCTGGGCCTATGATGTGCATCGTTTAGACAGGGATTAATTGAAGCTGTACCCCACCCCCAACCGCTGTGGCTACTTTCAGGTCACATTGATCAGCTCAAGACATTCTTCAGAACTGCCATGACAAACTTGCCCACATAAATAACACAAAAACTCCAAGGCCCTGCGAGTGGCTCTGAGTAGCTGCAATGGTAATTAAACTCTGCTATACAAATATATTCAACAACATACCAATGATTTAGCTGTTCTTAGAGTCTTAATAGTGTGGCAAAAAACAGTTTGTCCAGAGGGTAGCACTAGAGGAAAGGTAAGCAAAGGTCACTTTTTGTCCAGTGCTCTTAAGAAGATTTAGCTCTGAAAGCTGTGTCACGTTATGCGTAGTGACAGTCGCCCCCTAACCATCTTCTACTCATGACCTCTGATTGCAAAACAGAATAAATGGAGTCTAATGAAGAGCCTGCTGGCTCCAAACCTCACACTCCATCGGCAAGATTTTCATGAAAGCTATTTTTATTTGTTAAAGCTGTACAAGCTCTAACGTGTTCTTAGGAGCAAGTGTTTCATTTAGAGTGTGATATGAAAACAAGACTTAAAAGGTCACAGTTGGTGCCGCACATCTTTGTATAATTAATGACTGTTAAAATGACTTTCTCTCTGGTGTGAACTGCACCTGGATCCACTGCATGTGGAAGTGATCTGAACTGTTTGCCCTACCTTTAAGACTCTAAAGTTTTTGGTCTAAGAGTAATTCCCATTGCCTCAGCTGGAGCCATCTGACAGAATTCATCAAACCAAAAGTCCCCAATTTGTTTGACAGTTTAAGTACACATCGAATAACTGCCAACTGCAATAGATACATAAATACAGGTTTTAGGGACATTTCGGAGGACTCCTAGCGATAAGAGAGGATCCTTTATGAATATGGCCAGAGGTTATTATCTAAAATAATTGTCTAAAACTTAACTGAAAGCTAAAAATAGGTGTGAAAAAAACATTTAAGTGAACTAAAATGAAAATAAAATGCTAGACTTTAGAAAAAAAACTCACTGAAATGATATTGTGTACTTACAAAACTGAAATGAAAATAAACAGAGAATGTCTTTAGTTTTAGTCAGTTTGGTCAAATTTGTCAATACAAGAAGTACGAGGAGGCATTGGTGCATTGTTTGTTGTTTGTGTATGATTTGCATGCATCTTTTCACGAAATTCCAAATCTGGCCTTACTGAGTAAATCCTACTAGTATTTTAAAATCTGACAAACCCAATTACTTTTGTACAACTGCCATGATTTGCTTTGATCTCAAAAAGTTTAATTAAGTTGAGCTAACATAATTTATCCAAAAATTGTGGTGTGGTCAAATTATTTTATTTAAGATATTCTAACTTATTTATTTCATTCAATCCTGTTAAAAACCGTCAGAAATGCTTCTTATACAAAGTTGTCGACTGAATAAAACATAATTATAATAATAATATTTTCTGTGTCTGTAGTGGAGCTCTGTCAAGGCTGAGAAAATAACTCTGATGAGGTCATGGTAGTGTCATCAGGGATATCTCACCTTGGGCTTGGAGACTACAAATGTACAAGCCTCTGTTACAAACTGGCGGTGGGTGTGGAGTTTGAAAGAAGTCACCAGGCAGTGAAGGTCTATTGAAAGACTCTGTCAAGTTGCATTATGGGAAGTGTGAACAAGCATCACTGCAGAAGCCAGACCAAACCACCGATCCATCTCACACTCCATTCTAACCTCACTCATGAACAAGACAAGATACTTGAACTCCCTGGCTTAAGGCAGTAACTCTCCCCCAACCCACAGGGGTCAATCCACCAGCTCCCGGCAGAGAACCATTGCCTCAGATTTGGAGGTGCTGTCTCTCAGCTGCAAACTGCTCCAGTGCATGCTAGAGGTAACGATGTGATGAAGCCAAAAGAACCTGTTCTGTTGGCTTCATCACTACATGAATATCTTAATAAAATAAAATCTACCACAGGTGGTCATTCAAGTCTACCACAGACTTCAGTATTATCTTCTCTTGCTGCCTCTTGCGTGTCAGCAGCTTAAACAGCCTCTCTTAATGATTGGTCCATTCTTTCCTACAGTGCAATAGAAGAATTGGTCAACAGGGCCAGCAGACATTCAAGCATGAATATTTTACAAATCACTGAGTAAAATATGAAAAGGGTGAGTTATGGTTTTTGCCCCTACATGTTTAACTTCACCAGTGATTTCTGAACCTTTGAGACAGTTTCTGCCCTCAGTCCCGGTTCATTCCTGCTCCTGACTGATTTAATGCTACAGTAGCCTTCCTTCTCACAGCATGTCTCACCTAGAAAGGTGATTCAACACCACTCCCCGGTGCTTCTTTTCAAAAAAACTTGAATGTCCTAGCTGAGTGAGGCAGTTGAAGCATGTGCGGTCTGAGTCTTCTCTCTGCAGCCCTTGCTAGGACATTTCAAGATAATTGTAATAGGATTGTGTTGCTATCTATAGAAAGGATAGAGAGAGAGGTTAGAAGTGTTTACTCATTCTTTCCTCCCCCAACAGGAAGAATCAAGCAATAGTTGGACACCCCCAAGAAAAGCTTATACCAAATAAAATAATACCAAAAAAAAGGGGTCATAAAAAATGTAAGTGTCAAAAGAAAACTATATCAACTTGTATTCTCAAATTTAGTCGACGTAAAATTTAAAGGCAACCCAGACACTAACATTTTGAAGTTAAAACAAATAGTTTCTCTATTACAGTGAAGTAACAAGTAAGATACGCATAGTTGAGTGAAAATAATAATAATATACAACTATTTGTAAAAAAAAAAACATAAATTACCTGTGGTAATCAAAATTCACTTTTTCCATGTATGTATGCAGCACACAGCAGCCACTTTACACAAAGAAATTATTTAATCAATCATTAGATTTATGTATTATAATTACATTTAAAAATCCATCCAACTTTAATTATGTTTAGGTAATTTCTGTTCATAAATTCTATGTATTTCAAATATGTTAAATTTACTTAAAGTTTATGTATAGTAAGCAGTATGTATAGTTAGTAGTTTTTTATGTAAGAAATATTTATTTTTTGGTTTATGTTAGAATTACTTGACTCAATTGGATTAAGATATTATTTGTAATGAAAATATGTAAAACTGACAAAATAGACCTTTTTTATGTGTGTTTTTGTGTATGTATTTAGAGTAGAAGGAAGGCAAATGCCTGTGTTTTCAAGTCAGGAACAAATATTATGTTTTCATATTTTAGCTGTAACAACAGAAATCTTAGTAACAAAGTGAAATTATGTGACATCACTGCTCTGTTAACTCTGAGGGTGCAAATATATATTATATGTATATAATAGATATTCTTTAGTTCACAATTCAGTACCTTGGGCTGTAAAAACTTGACTGCATATTATATTATATTATATTGTATCATATTATGTGTAATTAAGGACTTTCTCAGTATGACATCAAGTTAGAGAAAAAAGGTAATTATATGTAGTGATTGATTATTGTGCTTTGTCGGCCTGTCTTTAGATGATACATTGTAATATTATTAGGATATAACATATCAATTTAATAGAAAATAGATAATTGAAATTTAA